AATGTTAAGAACATCAAAAGGAAGAGAAAATGCATTTATAGTACTAGTTATATAGTTGTTGAAAAAATTCTGTGTATAGGTAGGCTGGGCCAGCCAAAGGGGCAGCAGTGAGGCTGGGCCTGGCCCACAATGGTGACATTCTCTGCCTGCTGGCCTTAGCTTGGTAGAATCAGCTGTTGTTGGGCCCACGGGTGGCAACAGAGGTCTGGAAGAACACTACAGTTGCCCCATCTACCCAGAAGTAGACCACCAGCCCGTAGCTATTGGCAGTTGTGGCTACTCATGAGTTCCCGAGGTTCCAGGAGGCCATAGAGCAAGGGCAGCTCATGGGGAGAGCCCAGGAGGGGTCTGAAGCTCCCAGCTGCCCCTGCACCTTTCAGAGACTAGTTCATGGAAGATAAAGGGCAGAGGCATCAGGGGCTCAGACTTCTATAGAATGTGGTGCCTGCCCTCTGGGCTGTTCCTTTGTTTAGCCTAGCCTCCCTGCTGCCAATCCCAAGCACTCAACACAACCATCCTGTTGGCACACAGGGAAACCTGCAGATCTTCCTGGTCCTGAAATCTCCAGGAGCTGCTGACACCCTTATTAGGCCTCCCTGGGTACTCGGAGGGCAGCAGGTGGGGCCTCTGCATCAGTCCTCTTTGATCTGATCCTGTAGAGACTCAGGTACACAGTTGCAAATAAACACTTTGTGGCTTTTGCTGTCAACTCTTTAAAAAAAAAAAATCCACATTTAAGCTGATTTAGGAAGTTTAAACTGGTATTTTGCAAGGGTAAACTATATTTCCCTTAGCCATTTTTTAAAGACAAGTCTGCTAGTAACAGGATTCGTTAAGTTTTCCTTCATCTGAGAATGTCTTTATTGCCCTTTCATTCTTGAAGACTTTTGTAAGATATAGAATTTACTGTTGACAGTTTTTGTCTTTCAGCACTTGAAAAATGCGCAACTTCCCTCTGGCCTTTATGATTTCAGATGAGAAATCTGTTTTTATTTGAATTTATGTTCCTCATGGTTGATGTGTTGTTTCTCTCTAGTTGTTTTGATGATCTTGTCTCTAGTTTTCAGAAGTGTAATTATGATGTGCTGTGGCATCGATGTTTTTGGACTTATCATCTTTGGAGATTGTTCAATTTCTTAAATGTCTTTCACCAAACTTGAGAAATTTTCAGCCATTATTCTTTTTGAATATACTCTTTCATTCCAACTCTTTTTTCCATTCTTCTTCTGGGACTCCCATGATATAAATTTGGGGATTTTGTTACAGTTCCCTGAGGCTCTGTTTATACTTTTTCTAGTCTGTTTTCTGTTTTTCATATTGAGTACATTCTAAGTTCATCAATTATATCCTCTGTTATCTCCACTTTATTATTGAGTTCATCCAATGAGGTGTGTGTGATTTTTAAAAAATTTCTGTTATTGTGTCTTTCAGGTCTATAATTTCATCTTGGTTCTTTTTAATAATTTCTATTTCTTTGTTGATATTTTCTATTTTTCATTTTTTTATGAGAATTGCAAATTCATTAAAGCATTTTTACAATAACTCCATCCTTGTCAGATAATTCCAGTATCTGTTTCATCTCTGTTGTTGGTGTCACTTGATGACCATTTTTTCATTCAAGTTCTGCTTTTCCTGGTTCTTGGTGTGGCCAGTGATTTTTTTTTTTCTTTTGTATCTTAGATATTTTGATTACTATCTTAAGAGTCTCTGGGTCTTGGGATCCCTGGGTGGCGCAGCGGTTTGGCGCCTGCTTTTGGCCCAGGGCGCTATCCTGGAGACCCAGGATCGAGTCCCCACATCGGGCTCCGGTGCATGGAGCCTGCTTCTCCCTCTGCCTGTCTCTGCCTCTCTCTCCTCTCTCTCTCTCTCTCTCTCTCTCTGTGACTATCATAGATAAATAAAAGAATTAAAAAAAAAGAGTCTCTGAGTTTTATTTAAATCTTTCATTTTAATCAATCACTCTGTTTAGGTTTAGCACTCAGGTCCTGGCTTGACTTTTGTAAGCTATGGTTGCTGGTAATTAATTTCTTCAGAGTTTGTAATGCCTCTTTGATGTGCTTTCTTTATCCAGTGGACCTGGAGCTCCCAGAAGGATAAAAATATCTCCAGACATTTCCAAAAGCCCCTTGGGGAGAATATCACCTCCAGTTGAGGAGTATTGCTTGACAGAAGTCAGAAGGATTCAATGTTCCCCGTGTGGGACAGATCATGATCCTATAGGAGGAGGATATATTCTCCCCCAAAGTCTTACGCACGAACTTCAGAATCCCAGTCTGTGTTTGTGTGCACTAACTCCTCTGGCCTGGGATGAGGAAAAGGCTTTATTTGCCTCTTACTACATCTGCTCAAACTTGTACTCAGGGATGATATACTGACAATGCTTCCTATAATGAAACAGGATCTGATTTCTTGTAAAACCCAGCTCTCAGGCTAATCTAGCTCCAAACAAACAAGTGGTCTTTATTATGGAATTACAGCTATGAAGTTTCAAGGTGAAATCCTCTTAGCATTACATATATATGTATGCATATTTATATTTTCTGCTTTAAGACATGCTGCCAAAGATTGTTATCAGATACATCCTTTTTGCTTGTTAGTTGGTTTTCTTATTTCTACATGACTGAGATGACATCACATGACCTTTTGAAAGTTTTTGTTTTTCTGCCTGGAAACATAGGGCAGTGTTTCATAAAAGTGAGGGAAAGGTTGCCATGCTTTAAAAAAAAAAACAAAAAAAAAAGAACAAAAAAAAAAAACAAAAAAACAAAAAAACCCTAACGTTAAAAAAGAAAAGGAAAGAAAATGAAGGAAAGGAAAGGAAAGGAGAAGAGAAGAAAAGAAAGAAGAAAGAAAAGAAAGAAAGAAAAGAAAGAAAAGAAAAGAAAGAAAAGAAAAGAAAAGAAAAGAAAAGAAAAAGAAAAGAAAAAAGAAAAGAACTGCCAGATTGCTTATTGCAGAGTTGAGTCATTTGGCCAAAAGGAGTTGTTTTGGCTAATCATTTACTCAGCTGCCCTCTGAATAGAAATGCCATTCTCAAATTGTATGAAAATTAAATGAAACCTCACAGAATACTTGTTTACCAGATTAGCTGAAGTTTAAGGTCAAATCTGTTGGCCTCCTTGGCATTTTCTACATGCCAAGAAGTCTAAATTATTACAAATTAATTATTCAACTGGAATTGCTTCACATTATCCCGTTGGTGGAGGTGCCTCTATGATCACTAAGCAATTTCCACCATTCTCCTCCAGAATGTTTGTGACATTTGGGGCTACTGAAAGTGAATCCAATTATGTATTGGATAAATCACACACCAATGCAAAATAAACTTAGCTTCTCTCTCTTACTTTCAACAAAAGTAGATTTCTTTGAAACATGGCCTGCTCTGGATAAGAATGTTTTATGGACTGTGAGCTCCTGGAGACAGAAGTAGAGCTGGTTCTCAGCCGATTGGAGGAAATGTCTCCTTCTGGCCGTCTTCTCTGACACCAGCCCTTTGTATACTTGTCTTAAAGAGGCCTAAACTTTTGTCCATGATATTCTACCGATTTCCTTTCTCTGTCCCTTTTCCAAGAATCAGAAGGAATCTTGATAAAAGGATTTGGGAAAGTCCTTATAGGGAATAAATGAAACATAGCCACTTGTCTTCAAGGCTGTCCTCAAACCATAAGGCCTCCTTGCCAATGAACTTACTTGAAGTGCTGGGAAGCTAACTTTTTTTTATATGTTTTTGGAAACAATAATTACTTCACTGAAGGTGTAATGATCTTCTCCCCCATCATAGTAGTAATGTAAAAAGAGTTTTTACATAGTTTTTTGGCTCATTGGTGACGTTAGTGTGAGCATCTCTGGTTCCATTGATCTGGCTATAACTTTGAAGGTGAAGACTGGCTCAGGAGCTCAGAGAGAATGTACTGGGTCTACAAGCCCTGGGATCCAGGGCCAAAGAGAAAAATCCACCCCTTCGTCCTGGCACTGCTATTGTCCTGTTGTCTGCCATCGGTGACATCATTGTGGGGACATGACGAGGAAGAGGATGACAGAGGAAATGTCTGCAAGCTGCTGGATGATTTCAATGGCTCTCAATTTGCTTTCTGTTATTTTGGTGAGGCTGCCTGCCTGCCTGCAGTCAAATGTTGGCTTCTAAAGAAGTGTGGCCTCCAAAGCAAAGTGAGGCATATTATCTTCGAAAGGTGGCCAAGAGTGTGAGCTTCAAAATTAGTGTGCCCTACTTCAAATCCTGGTTTCTTCCCACCTGTATGCCCATGAACAAGTTAATGAAACTTTCTGTGTCTCAGTTTCTTCAGCTATAAAGTAGGGTTAATAATAGTGGACAATTCATAGTGCTGCCATGCAAGTGGAATGAAGCAGTCTTTGCAAAGTTCTGAGGATAGAGCCTATAAGGTGGTAAGTACTCAATAAGCATTAGGCCTTATCATAGAAAGTACTTGCAAAATGCCTGTGCTCACAGCCACCACCTGATCAGAACGCCCATCTGGACCACAAGGACCTTACCACCAGGAAGTACATTTGTAATAGCAACTTTTGCTGCATATTTTATGGGAGTGGCATGATAGAGGTGCTGAATTCATCAACAGGCCCTCCTTTGCAAGCGGCCTGAATTCTTTCCAAAAAACTTTGATGGGAATGATTTTCAAACGTATTTCAAAATTCTCTTAAGGGCAACATTAATTTTTAAACTAAAGAGAAGTTGTTACCCTTGACCTGGGGCTTTCCATTCAGACTGTAATGACCTATAATTTCCCAATGCCCCTGCTAAGTTTGTTAGGAATTGAAAAGAGCAACTGAAATTGACCTAAAGTCCAATGTTTGTGAACTATCACTACCTCTCACTCTGAGAGAGAAACACAGAGAGAGATTGCGAATGCACATGTGTTGGGGGGGCAGGTTTGTGTGGGCAAGGGAGGGTAGGAGGAAAAGCAAACAGTATTGAGCTGGTGTCTTTGTTTTAATCAAGGGGAGTGCTAAGTGATTGTCTTCTAGCACTCCCCTTGGCAGCACAAATACTAAAATTGGAATAATGCAGAGAAGATTAGCATGACCCCTGTGCAAGAAATATCTCCTGGTAGCAGAGAGAAGTATAGAAACAATTCAAGTGTGCCTGACTGTTTACTAAATTTTGAAGGTTGAGAAAACTGATTTTGAATGCATAGCCCAGATATTATCTAGAAAGAAATATTTTCTTCTAAAGAAATCAGGAAGTAGGACTATTGGTTAATGATGAAGGCCAACATGCATAACCCTAATAAGCCACACAGAGGCCTGTGGGGGGAGTCCTGGGAGTTGTCTATGTTTGGGAGGTAGAGAAATGGCCCTGCCCTAGGTACCTCAGAGTTCACAGACAGGGAAGAAAAGAGGAGACACTGCTTAGCCCCCCCAGTTCTCTGCCCTTCCACCTCATTCCCAGCTCAGCAGGGTGACCCTGGGAAGCTGAATTATGGATCCTTCACCAGCCCCACACAGAAGAGAGTCTGGTATCCATGCCCAGAGTTCCTGAGAGAGTGCTCTGTGAGCCTCCTCAGTGAGCTCCCATTGAACAGACCACAAAAGGACATTCCAGCCTCTCATCCTGGATGGGTGCTATGGACTCAATGCCAAAATTCACATATTGAAACCCCAATCCCAAAGGCGATGGTATTCAGAGATGGGAGCCTTTGTTTGTTTGTTTGTTGTTTGTTTGTTTTAAAGATTTCATTTATTTATCCATGAGAGACACACAGAGAGAGGCAGAGACACAGGCAGAGGGAGAAGCAGGCTCCATGCAGGGATCCTGATGTGGGACTCGATCCTGGGCCTCCAGGATCAGGCCCTGGACTGAAAGCAATGCTTAAACTGCTGAGCCACCCAGGCTGCCCCTGATGGGAGCCTTTGAAAGATAATTAAGTCATGAGGATAGAGCCCTTATGATGGGATTGGAGCTCTCATAATAGAAGATACTGGCGAGAATTATTTTCCTTTCTCTGCTCCCTGTCAGGTGAAGAGACGATGAGAAGATCACCTTCTGGAAACTAGGAAGTCAGCTCTAACCAGACACTGGATCTGCTGGCACCTTGATCTTGGACTTCCAGCTCCAGAATTGTGAGAAATACACGTCTGTTGGTTAAGCCACCTGGTATTTTTGTTACAGCAATCTGAACTGTTTAAGGCAATGATTACACCCATTCCATCTTCATTCTGTTTTTTTTTTTGTTGTTGTTGTTTTAGGTGGGAAGAGCTTCCTGACAATGTGAGACATGAAGATGGTGGATCCATTTAACCTGGTGTGGACTGAGCCTGGGTGGAGGTTAGAATTAAGAGTGCCTTCAACTGCCTAAGGAAAGGAGAAAGATAAGGAAGGATATAGAACTTATCCTTTGGAAAGCTAAAACTGTAATTGCTAGACATTGTTGGACATTTAAAATTATTGTAACATATGATTTTCATTAGTTTCTTAAAACAAATATATCATCCATATAAATAATAGTAAGTGCTAATTTTTATTATGCACATCAGTGGCCCAAGCAGGTACCAAGCACTTCACAGGTATGCTATCATTTTTTTCTTTCCTACAGACCTCTAAAGCAAGTATTATCATGCCATTTTATAATTCGAGAAGCCACATCTAAGTATATGGGTGGCTAAATAACTTGTCTAAGGACATGATAACAAATAGCAGAATTAGGACTTAAAGTCATTCCTATTTGAGTCAGAAACCCACTATCTGGGGGCTCCAGATACTTTCTTTGCAACTATTCCATAAATGTTAAATAATTCCAAAATAAAAAGTTATTTGAAAAAAATAAAAACCATTATCTAAACTGCTCTACTGTTCTCTTTCCAAATAACTTATGAAAGTTTTGCTTTGTTTCTATGTTAAATTTCCCAGAAATTTTGAAAAATAGTGTGTTATATTTTCACCTAGGGATCCTTGTACTCTTTCATGTAAAGCACTTAGAAAAGTGCTTGCCACTTGAACAGGTCTCAATAAACATTCATCATCATCATCATCATGCTCACCACTGACTTCACAAATAATCATTTATCACATTACACTTTAAGAATCAGTGTACATATTAAATTCCTCCACTAGACCGTGGATGACTCAAGAGTAGAGACCATAGGAGGTGATCACTAACATTTTATAAAATGAATAAATCCCTGTGCTCACAATTAGATCTTTCAGCAGTGAATCATCAAATCGACAGGTAGTTTGTTTCTGTTTCTAACTTGCCTTTGCCCCTGGGGGCAAATGGCTGTCTTCTCCATGATCTTGGCCACCTTTATAAGAAGAGAAACCCCGTTGCTGCATCCATCTGATGCTTGTGGTAGGCATGCAATTGACATAAAGCTGCACGTTCCAAAAGTAATCTTCCTCCAGCATGTCCTCCCTCAACTCTAACTCACTTAGATCCAGTCATCTTCTCTGCTATGCTGTGCATTAGGGGAAATCTACACATGGGAACAAAATTAATGTGACCTCATGCCTTTTGGACACAATTTAAAAGGGGTCAGATTGTCTTTTCTTGCTGTCAGGTGCAATGTTTCTTATGCCATGTCCCCATTTTCCATTGACTGCCAACACTGTTTATAAATTTGTGGGATCTAGGAAGAGTGAGGGCACAGCTCCAGAAGCCTGATGCATCAGGAAATGTGAACTCTGGAAACAAAAGTGTTCGCTGTGGCTTTGCTGAACCAGCACACTCTGTGTGCTCACTGAGATGGCAGGCCCATCACATGTTTGCCCGGCCAACTGGTGATGACTAGGGTGCTGCTTTAAAAGATGTTAGTTCTAGGTAATTGCAGGAAATATCCTCTAGCTCAGCACTATTCAACAGAACCTTCTGCAGTGACAGAGATTTATGTATCTGTGTTGTCTAATAAGGTGGAGTGGGAATAGGGAGCCACCAAGGCAATTGCAGTATTGGGTAAAACCATCTCAGCTTGATTACAGGGTGAGCACTGCTCAGAAGCATGACCTTTGTCAGAGGATGGGGAAATGGAGGGCATGGGGTTGTGAGTAGGGGTGTAGATGTGTCACCAGGTTGTTGACATATGAAGTGAAACACTTGGAATGCGTTTTCCTTTTCTCTATCTTGTCTTGAAAATGTCTATTTTCAATAAGCTAAACAACCTGTTAGAAATTGCGCCTTTTCAGTCTTATACCTCGAAAGAGGTATATATATATTTTTTGAATTCCTGTCTCATTAACAACTGTGCCATTTTCCCTCCTGAAAAAATAAAAACAAAAACAATTGTTTAAATTGGATGTCTTGGTTCATGGTTAACAACGAGACTTAGGGCAGGTATGACTCTTGGTCCCAAGGTAAAATTGTTACTGGGGCATCAAAAAAAAGCATCAAGCATCACATGACCTCCAACTATACATTTTGCTATTCGCCACAGATGATTTATATAATTGGGAAGCTGAAAGAACATGGATAATTTACTTCCTAGAAACCTCTTTATTTTATTTTTTTGAGTGAGAAAATAAGTGCATAAGCAAGGGGATGACATAAGGAGAGGGAGAGAAAGAATCTTAAGCAGACACCATGTTCAGTGCAGAGCCAATGCAGAGCTCAACTGGCTTGTTCCTATGACCCTGAAATCATGACCTGAACAGAAATCAAGAGTTGGAAGCTCAACCGATTGCATCATTCAGGCACCTCTGCTTCATAGAAACTTCTTAAGCTCCAGCAAGTTGACCCTAGGTAAGGGAGCCTATTCCTTGAATCCTAAATACATCTAGAACTGTCTATATCCCAGCATAAGCACAGGGCACTGTGTCCTGAAGGTAGGAGCCTTGATCTGCTCATTGATAAGAAGAATGATAGGTATTGTCAAAATAGAAATAATACATTATTTCAAATATAGGTTCTTCATATAGTCCTATTGCAATTTTAAGCCTTCACCATTTTTCTTTGTTTTAAGGCATGACTTCGAAAAATCAATAAGCATAATTAGTCAGAAAATCCAATTTCTTTCTCCATTTGTTATAGAAATTAATTTGGCATGCTACAATTTGAAAAATAAAAAGTATGCATGTACTAACCATATTTTGTATATCTAACCCATTGTGTTCAATTGGGTCCTGTGATTATTTTGAAATGCTGCCTACAATCTATGTTATTTCAGACCAGGAGGGCTTTTTTTTTTTTTTTTCATTTCATATAAGACATATCCTCAAGCATAAATTTGCTATTTCTTGCTCTTGGAAATCTTGTCAGTCCCAAGAGAAAAGTATTCTGGAGATCATTCTACATCAAACCCATGGGTTTTCTGACCCAGGATCCCTGAGATTTGCTAGCTGGGTTCAATAGGAAGATCTAACTCGAAGGCCACACCATCTCTAGATCTAGAGGTAAACCCATTGTACTGCCTTCCTTCCAGGGACTCCAGGCTACCCCACCAAATCTCATCTCCTCTCTCTTGTATGTCTTCAGGTGGCTTTTCATTTCCCAAAGGCCTATCAACTAATCTCATATCTGGTTAAATAGAGAGTAGAGATAACTGTTGGGCTTGACTGAAGGGCACAACACAGTGGTCAATGATTCACCATCAGCTTGCGTGTGTGCGTGTGCGTGTGGTGGGGTACCTTTTCTCTCTATCCTGTCACTGCCACCTAGAAATTTTGCCACAAAAAACTAGATACCACACTGTATAAACACCTGGGACACTGGGAAGCAAGGCAGGCCAGGCTATAACAGATGGCTCTTCATTGATTCTTCCTCGGGATATAGGAAGAATTTTCCGTGATTGTAAAGAAGATAATAAATGAGAGGTCATCTGCTCTGCTTTGAAAGGAACAAGGATGGAGACAAAGAGGCCCCTTCTCAACCTCAGGGCATGTCGTGTTTCCAGGATGACTCACTGTATTCCTGTGGCTGGAGCCTGGAGACCCACTGCCGTCTCCTACCTGGATAGGTGAGTGGGGCACAGCCCAGCATGGGTGTGTGCACCAAAGCAGCAAGCAGCAGATCAAACCTGACCTTGCTCTAATCTGTACCTCATTGGGTTCACGTGGTGGTGGTGGGGGGGACCCCTTTTTGGGTCACTCTGCAGTGGAGCCTGCGACACCGTGTGTACTTTACCAGGGGCCTTCTGGCAGCAATGGC